TTTTGAGTTGAAGTCTCACTCTGTCGCCCAGGCTGGAGTGCAGTGGCATGCTGATGGCCACCACAGCCTCGACCTGCTGAGCTCAGGCGATCCTTCCACCTCAGCCTTCCAAGTGGCTGGAACTACAGATTACAGATTCACACCACCACGCACGGCTGATTTTTTATTTATTGTGGAGATGAGGTCACAATAAATGAGATCTCATGTTGCTCAGGCTAGTCTCAAACCCCTGGGCTCAGGTAATCCTCCCCCTTCTGCCTCCCAAAGTGCTGGGATTATAGGCTTGAGCCACTGTGCCCCACCTAATTTTTTGATTTATTGTAGAGAGAGGTCTCACCATGTTGCCCATGTTGCTCTCGAACGCTTGAACTCAGGCAACCCTCTTGCATCAGCCTCCCAAAGTGCTGGGATTACAGGTTTGAGCAACCACGTCCTACCTAACTTTTTGATTTATTGTAGAGAGAGGTCTCACCAAGTTGCTCAGGCTGGTCTTGAACCCATGGTCTTAGGCAATCCTCTCACCTCAGCCTCTCAAAGTGGTGGGATTATAAGTGTGAGCCACTGCACCTGGCCAGCACAATGCTTTTTTATTTTATTTTTTATTTTTATTTTTTGAGTTGGAGTCTCACTCTGTAGCCCAGACTGGAGTGCAGTGGCCGCTCCCGGCCACCGCAGCCTTGACCTGCTGGGCTCCAGCGATCCTTCCGCCTCAGCCTTCCAAGTAGCTGGAACTACAGGTGCATGCTACCACGCCCGGCTAATTTTTGATTTATTGTAGAGATGAGGTCTCGCCAAGTTGCCCAGGCAGGTCTCGAACCCGCGGACTCAGGCAATCCACTCACTTCAGCCACCCAAAGGCACAGGATTATAGGCTGAGCCACCAAGCCCGGCTGTGAATATTTTATTAAATTGAGTCAAAGTCTTATTCTGTTGCCCAGGCTGGAGGGCAGTGACACACTCACAGCCACCACAGTCTGGATCTGCTGGGCTCAGGTGATCCTTCCGCCTCACTCTTCTAATTAGCTGGAACCACAGGCCACCACACCTGGCTAAGTATTTTTTTTTTTTTTAGTTGGAGTCTCACTCTGTCACCCAGGCTGGAGGCTGGAGTGCAGCGGCACACTCACAGCCATCCTTCCGCCTCAGCCTTCCAAGTAGCTGGAACTACAGGCCTGTGTCACCACACCTGGCTAATTTTTTGATTTATTGTAGAGATGAGGTCTTGCCATGCTGTCCAGCCTGATCTTGAACCTGTGGGATCAGGCAGTTCTCTCACTTCAGCCTCCCAGAGTGCTGGGATTATAGGCATGAGCCACCGCACCTGGCCAGTTTTTATTATTTTTTCTAGAGATGAGGTCTCCCTATGTTGCCCAGGCTAGCCTTAAACGCCTGGGCTCAAGCAATCCTTCTGCCTAGGCCTCCCAAAGTGCTGGGATTACAGGTGTGAACCACTGAGCCCAGCCACTAGTCTCAGCTTTTAATGACAGGCTATGTGACCTTGGGTAAGGCACTTCTCCACCCTAGACCTTGGGGTCTTTGCCTGGCTGCAGAAGGCTCTGTGTGCCTGTCCTCCCCAGCTTATTCAGGGGTGTGGAAGAGGCTTCACCTACTGACCCTGGGAGGTAGGTGAGGAAGGAGATTATGGATTCCCATTCCACAAACAAGGACACCAAGGGCCAGGTGGGTAAGGCCTGCTGAAGGTTCCAGTGTAAGCGGCTACTGGCCAGTTCCCCAGTCATCAGTCCTGGGTCCCACATTGGCTAAACCGCAGCCCTCAGTACAGGCCTGCACATTCTGTGACTCTGGCAGGTGGGCACCCAGGCTCTCCTGCAGCAGAGAGGATGGCCGGGGGGGTCTGCCCCGGCCCCGTGTGGTCACCAAGGTCCAGAGCAGGGTGGGGCCGACTCTAAAAAGGGCGCCAGCCACCTCCCTGACCTCATCGTCCAGTCTTACCACCCTTCCCTGCAGCTCAGCACGGACCAGATGTTTGCTCAGGTACAACTTCAGGGTGGAGACCTCAGAGGGGTGCAGGGGGATGGAGTTCAGGGGAATAAAGTGCGTTGGGATCCAGGGTCCTAGGAAGGAGCCCGAGTCTGCAGGCTGGGAACTTCTGGCTCGGATGCCAAACTCCTGGAATTTCACCTGTGCCTTGGAGATCCAGCAACAGAATTTGGAACAAGACACGCTTAAGCCCCGCCCCTCCCCAGCACCCCTTAGGGCGCAGAGGGTCTGGGAGGCCCCTCGGGAAAGGCTAGGCTGCCTGCGGTGCGGGGGGGCGGCAGCTCCAGGGGAGAACACCTTGCTCTCCAGCTTTGCCGCTCTAGGGCTGGCCCTTTAAACCTGAGACCATGATGTCACTGTAGACAGCAATGGACTGGACGGGAGGGGAGGAGGACTGCGGGGCTAGGGGCGGACTGCATTTCCCAGCAGCCTCTGGTAAGCCACACCCCGTCCAGCCGGCAGACACTCACCGCGGACAATTAACTAGCCCCGTGCTGGTTTCCAGGGGGTTTCCGAATGGTCGTCCTGGGGCGAGGGTGGGGCTCCTAGGAGGTGGCCTGGGGTGCAGGTGGTCCAGGCCAAATCCGTGGGCCTGGCAAAGCACGCCGGGTCTGTGTCCTGCCAGGGTCCTGGCATCGCCCCTCGTTTCCTGGGCGCACACTCCTGCGTCTTCCCCTTCCCCTTCCCCTATGCAATCTCCCTTCCACAATCCAGGGGTGCAGCCCCCGGTGGAGCCCATCCCGGGGGGCTCTCAGGCTTGCAAAGCTTCGGCCTCTGCCCGGAAGTCCATCGTTGGGGCTTACCTCTTTGGTCTTGGTGGCTCCCTTTAAGCGATGCGGGGACTACATCTCCCAGCGGCCCGGGGCCTTCCTGACGCAGTCCCCCCCAGCCCGCGGGGAGGGGCGGGCCGGGCG